TGTGAAAGGTTAACTTCCCAGGTAGCCTGAGGGGATAACACTGGATGGGCAAGCAAGGTACCTGCAGACCAGCCAGAGAATCTAGAGAGAGATCCTGGGAATAAAATGGCCATGGTCTTGGGACTCGAGAAGCTCCCACGTGTTCCTGGCAATCTGGAAGGATCTCCGTATGTGCAAGGCTGCATACATGCTCAAGAGAAACCAGAAATCACCAACCCTGACTTTCTGCAAGTCCCTGGATAAAGGTGAGGCTTGCACAAGTCCTATGAGAAGACACAAAAAGTGGCGCAGAAAGTTAAGTCGGCACAGACTTGCAAATTTCCTGAACTTGGAATCGATTTGCCAACCCAAGCAAAGATCCATTTGCAAAGGGTAGAAAATGTACTGGCTCGAATTGTTTGGGCATAACCTCCAACCAATCACAGGGTAATCACTAAACTATGTTGACATAGGGGTGACCTCTAAGAATCCAGGCTTTTTTGAGAAACAAGAATTTTTTTAAATTGTCGGAGACATCAGCAGCTTCACAATGTGAAGAAATCACAGACCGTATAGAGTTAGTGTGGTCAAGTCACTAAACAGACAAACAAACAAAGCTCAAAAGCAATAACGTGGGCTGGACGCAGTGGCTCATGCCTGTAATCCTAGCACTCTGGGAGGCTGAGGTGAGCGGATGGCTTGAGGTCAGGAGTTCGAAACCAGCCTGAAGGAGCCCGCCCCCCACCCGTCTCTACTAAAAAAAATAGAAAGAAATTAATTGAGCAACTAAAAATATATATACAAAAAATTAGCCAGGCATGGTGGTGCATGCCTGTGGTCCCAGCTACTCGGGAGGCTGAGGCACAAGGATTGCTTAAGCCCAAGAGATTGAGGTTGCTATGAGCTAGGCTGATGCCACAGCATTCACTCTAGCCTGGGCAACAAAGTGAGACTCTGTCTTAAAAAAAAAAAAAAAAGCAATAATGATGAAGAAATCAGTTTCATTGCATGATATGATCTATGATATCTGTTTTTCAGCAATAAAAAGGCAGCCTGGGAACAAAGAGGAACTCTGACTATACACAGAAAGTAAAAAAGGATTCAATAGAAACTGCCTTTGACATCCCTGAGGTTTTAGACTAACAGAACAACTCAAAGCTCCTGTTACATATATTCAAAGAACAATCTCATATTTAAGAATTAAGAGAAACAACAATGGAGCATTAACTAGAGAATAATATTAAAGACACAAGTTATTTTTATTAAAAAAGAAACTAAAAAGAAATCTAAAATCAAAAGGTATGATGACTTTTTAGCAGGCTGCAAGATAAACATACCAAAATCAATTATATTTCTATATATTAACCATAAATCATCCAAAATAAAATTAGGAAAGTGATTTCATTCACAAAAGTCTAAAAAAGCATGAAATATCTAAGAACTAATTCAATAAAAGAAATGTAAGTTATATGTACTGAAAACTACCAAATATGGCTAAGAGAAGTTAAAGATCTAGACAAATGGAGGACCATTTCATACATTCATAATATTATGAAAAATAGTAAAAATAAATTAAAAGAATAAAATTAACAAAAATGTAACATATGTATTCATTTTATATCTATATATGTTATAAACAACTCACTTTCTTCTGCCAATTTAGTGTGTTTGTGGTTTTTATGTTGTTTCCTTTTTTGCTGAATATTATTTTAAGTAAGTAGAGTTTAATGGAAAATTATATAATATAGTATTACTACATTTATTTGTCACACTGTTTCTTTAATTTACCTAAATTACTTAATTATTTTCTTTTTAAGTGAATATTCTACTGCCTAATAAATACTGTGAACAAAATTATACCATCTGCAAAAAATGATTGTTTCATCTTTCTTTATTTTTATCCTTTATTTCTATTTACCTATAGGCAATAACAGACAACCTTATCCTGTTCCTACTATTAATGTTTAATCTTATGATATTTTTGTAATTAAGTGTATTTTCTATACTTTGGTTATAGCTACTCTAAACTATATAAGGAAATTCTGTTTTATTACAGACTGGTAAAATGTTTTCTTTTTCAAATCAATGTATGTTTAATTTTATTGAGTGCTTTATCAGCCCTCAATAAAATTAAATATAATCTGCAAATTTTTTAAATACAGACAACTACATTAATGAATATTCTAATGCTCAATTGTTCTTACACACCTGATAAAAGCATTATGTGATAGATATAAACTTTTTTTACTCACATACATAGATGAAATTGGATGTTTGGTTTAGCAGTATGCTTTGTTTTTGTTGTGTGCTTTGTTTATAGTCAAGTATTCTGGTCAGGTTGCTGAGGTTTTGTGTTGTGATGTTAGCTCCATAAAATGACTTCAATTGTTTTCTGTCTTTTTCAATACCTGAGACTGTCCATCACAGATGAGCCTAGCTTCTTTTGGATCAGTTAAAACTTTGACTTCAGGGTCAATTTTTATGTTAACTGGTAAATTTAGAGTTTCTTCTTCCTTTAGGTTTTATTTTCATCATTTATAATTTTCAATAAAATTTTCCATCTAACTTTGACTTCAAATTACCTGATACAAACTTGTACATAGTTTCTCTTACCTTTTACATCCAATGTTGTTTAATTGAGCATTATTTTTCTTATCAATAATTCTAGTTTACTTTGATATTTTATTTTTTAAAAATATAGTTTGTAATTAATCTGATAATTTCTTTTTTTTATTTCAATTTTTATTTGATATTTCCAAATATAAAAAAAGTCAAGATTCTTACACCAATTATCTCAAATGAGACCATGCAAAGCAATTCAGTGTGTGTACGACAATAATTTTTCCCCTTAGGTTCTGCTGCTTTATATAACGGTGTGAACGACAACATTGGATGGCATCTGCCTGGTTGGAAAATGTCATCTCTTTACAAAAAACAACATGTAAGACAGTTTCTACTTTGTCTGCTAGTCAATTCACAATAACGACTTATTTTCTTTTTTTATTTAGGAGGCACATGGAACTGAAAAATTTAGCTGCCCAATTTTATTCAACTACCCCACCAAAAAAAAAAAAAAAAATCACATATGACAGTCCCAACACTCTGCAAACTTTGGAGAGTTGAGATAGTAGACACTATTTGTTATCTTTAGTAGATTCAACTATTTAGAGCCTGGTAATATTGGCTTTTTCTCTTAACAGAAATCTCCTTAGGGTCTCTCCTCTAATTTTGTTAGACTGGGTTCCAGAAGAATAGTGAAGAACCCCTCACATGAAAATTTGAAGTGTGGAAACTGTTCTGTTGCATTATACAAATTTTTGCTAGTTGCATAGACTAAAGACAGTTGGTTTGCTAAATGGCACTGAATTAAATCCTGACCCAAGTGGCACTATTCAGTCCAAATGTTTCTGACCAAAGAAAATTATACAATATTTATAGGCTAACTTTTACGAGATGGTTGACATTAATACTGTACGTATTTTACATGTCAAAACATAGTCCAAGATTTTATAAAATAAGTTCATGCATTATTACCTCTAAGAATATCATGTACAAGATAACCCCTCCCCCCCACCAGTTCCTGTGACAGCATTTCAGGTGGAAGCAGTCTTATATACAAAAACAATCCAGTTTCTCTGCTGTGTTAAGTATATAATTTAAAGAAATTTCAGAGATTACTGACAAAAAATCTTGGTCCACTGAAGACAGAAAGTGTCAATTTGTGGGATTTAAAATGTTTCCTTTTTAAAAAACACCCAGAATACATAACTTCTGTACAAAGAAAAATACAAAAATTCTGGATGATCATGTTTGATCACACTACATAATTTAGAATGAAATGTCACTGGTTTAAAAGGTTTTCTACTTTACTCATTCCTTTGACAGCATTAATTTGTGCACTAGCATTTATATTTAGCTCAGCTGCACTTATGGCACAAGATCTCATTTCCAAAATGGCACCAATTTTCCTTAAGTGTAACAGCACTCTATTTTTAGCAGCAATTATATTTTTAAAGGTTAACAATTTGTAGAACAAATGTTTTAATTATACTTATTTTCTACTTTATACTCACCAGTTACAATATTTACAAAAGGCTAAAGTCTTACACAAAAAATGATCCTTCACTCTCCCTAACCCCACATCTCAGTCAAAGGTTTTTCCACCCACCTCATTGGGGAAGTAGGAGTTTCAGACAAGGTACCTATGTGTTTTAGATGGGATTCTTGATTTTAAGTGAGTATAAAGCCAAGTATAAGACAAAATAATTCTTAGATTAGGTATAATTCCAATGCCCCAAAAGTTAGTTATGTGATAAATAGTACCTATTGACAACCTAGAAGAGATGAGACATTCTAAGGTGCCCTAACAATCTTACATCTGTAACAGCTGAACAGCAAGAAGGCCATTGTACTCAACTGTGCTGCAGTCATCTTTGACTGGCATTTAAGGTTAGACTCCACTCCTGTGGTTACCAGTAAACATGGGACTTTAACTCTAGAGGTGTCGCTAAATTTAAAAACTGCAAATATGTTTTAAGAGCAATTTACATTGAGGGAAATATGGTTCTAAGGTATTCTGTGTAAAGAGATTAAAGATAACGGGGGACCCGGCAACTGAGCATGCTAATTCCGTCGATACAATGTTCATGGTAAGGTGTATTCACTACATGCATTTTGCTAACAATATTTCCCCCCAAAATTCACCAACTCTGTAGAGCTACAGGGGCAATAGCCATCATCATGTAGCTAGTGACATAATATTCTTTGTGAAAATTCAGACAAATGAGTTGACAAATTCCCAAAAATAGCAAATTAAATCCTTTGTCAAAATAGCTACTGGATCATACATAAACAGCCCAAATCTGTGATTTAGGAATTAAAATTTTGATCATATAAATCATGTTTGGGGATGAATGGATTCCCTTAATATCAGGAATATTTTTCATTAATTCCCACCATAGAAGGATTTGTTGAATGTTAATACTGTGAATGAGAAAATTTGAGGGGAAAGAAAACATACCTACAAATAATTTGATCTGACAAACCAGGCCGATATCAAAAAGACAAAAAAACTGATAAAATGCTGTGAAAAAAACAACCAAAATAACAGTGGGGGGGGGAGGGGGGCTCAGTTAAGGCATCTAAAAAAAAATTCCACGTGGCTTTGGCTTATTAAAATATTTTACACTATTTTTTAAAAGAAGATTTGAAATCATCTGAAAAACATGCAAATTGTTTGAAAACCTTGCATGGCAAATTCAGACAGTTTGCAAGCGTCATTCAGATGTTCGCAGAAGAAAACAAAGAAGCCTCTCCCCATGAGACTGCACGTGGGAGACGTCTTCCCGGTTCTTTCTATCTTATGCTGGATGGCAACCCCGAGGTCTGTGCAGCAGTTACAAACAAGGCATTGCTATCTGGAAGGGAAGGGACCATGGAATTGCCATTGGTTGGGGAACAGCCCAGCTTTAGCTTTTCCAGATTCTCTGCATGTACAGGTCTGTGACACTGGAGAATTTTGATTGCGTCTTCTACTTTGAACCATTCTCTCTTCCTTCCGATATTAACAGAATCTTCCCAATCTTCTAATATTTCAGTGACTGTAAGAACATACACGTATGTTCTGTGCTTTCGGTCTTGGTTCTCAAATATGCACAGGAGTCTTCCTAATTTTCCTTTAACTCCAGCCTCCTCATAAACTTCCCTCACGGCAGCCCCGCCAGGCTCCTCCTCGGGCTCCGTTCCTCCTCCTGGGACAATCCACTGGTCTGGGTACCGACTGCTACTCACTAACAGCACGCCATTTCCACCCTCCGTGTGAGCGCTCGAGGCTTATCCGGCTCCAAACTCAGTTCGCACGTCAAGATGGTGACTCCCGCTAGGCGCCACTCGCTCGGCCTGGGACCCTGCCGGGGGCCCTCGGCATGCCGGCCTCGAGTCCTCACGAGGGCGCAACGGAGAGAGAGCCGGGCGAGCCCTTTGTCCTAATCTGATAATTTCTATCATGTGATTTGTTTTCATTTCTATTTTAAAAATACAGTTTTTATGTTGATTTCCTTTCCTCTACAAATTCGATTCATTTTATGGTTCTTTTACTTGTTTCCAGATTTCAATGTGCACATTAATTATTTTCAATATTTCCTCTGTTCTACAAATACATTTAAAGCTATAAATTGCTATATAAAAATTTCCTAGTTTTATATTACTATTATGAACATTAGAAAAGGATAGATGTTAAAGAGAATACATACTAACCTCTAAAACTTTAATACATAGTAAAAAGACTGGAACGACATATGCCAAACATCAATATGCGTAACTGTACTAATTAGAAGAATTTTAGAGGATCACCCAAAATGGCTGACTAAAGACATTGCTCGCTGGATCATCCCAGCTACAAGGTAGAGTATTGGACTGAGGAGAATGGAGAGCAGTTGCAGCTCAGCTGTGGGAGAGACAACAGAGACGTCTGGGGACACAACTGAAAAAAACTGCAAAGCTGAGAAAGAAGAAGATAGACAGTTGAAGGCAGCAGCATGGACCAAACCCAGAGAGTTTAGGAGCCCAGTGAAAGGGTAAGGGGGAGAGGGGTGTTGCCCCTTCCCCACCTAGGTAACTTCAGTGAACAGTGGGACATAAACATATTGGAGGCACTTCCACCCTACATGAGCCCAGGCAAGGTGGCTAAATAGGAATAGCCAGGTATAACAGTGAACTCCAGGAGTTCAGGTGATCAAAAGGGACACTCCACGGGAGAGTGCCAGGAGACACAAGAGTGCCAGCTTTCTTACATCTAGAAAATTCCTCCTCTGCACCTGCTCCAACCACGGCACCATAGAGATTCATTTTAGCTCATGCTGGCTGGTAGTCACAACCCCTCCTCCCCTTGTAACTGCTTGAATACTCTGAACCAAGAAGCACATGAACAGCTGTGCTAGGTGCACATCCCCAACCCAGCCCACCACTGAGAGCAGGGCGACCACAATTTGCACGCTTCCTGCCCACCAGCATTTCATGAGATCTCCCACTAGTGGCTTAGACACATAGGCCAGTGGCCCATGGACACGAAAGCAGTGAAGGGAAATGCGGAGAACAGGTCTCGGTCCTGGGCTTCAGTGTTGAGGAAGCCCTTACAGACATATCCAGTGGGAGAATGTGGAGGAGTGCTGAGGAACACAGATCTGTGAGCATGCCCATCACTCACTGGAGAGCCACCATATTGGACAAGGATGGGGCTTTAGGAGTCAATTAGCCTCGCCCCTCATTCCCATGAATGCTGAATGCCTCAGGTGTGCCGGCTAAATGAGAACAGTAGCTGTTTACCCCACTCATTACAATAGAGAGTGAATCTTGAGCCAAGAAACTTGCAAACAGCCACTTCTCCCAAACAGCAGTTTGCCCCTGGGTGAGGCCCCTATATAGAGAGAAAACTGTGTCTCTCCCCTTCCAGTCTTGTGGTAGAACAGGGATGCACAATTGGGAATCACCCTACCGACCAGGGTCCCATGGAGATACACGCTAGTGGATAAAACATGGACTGAGGATTAGTTCAAGAGCTGATCTCAGTGAATGACGAAAACTCATCTGGACTGTTCTGATAGGAGAGTGTTGTGGAGTCCCAGGGAATGAATAGGGAGGGTGCGCACCCCACCCTGCAGAGAAATTGTGCTAGAGTACAAGAGTGGAAAGAGCCTGGCGCAGGGCTTTTGCACTCAAGTTACTAGGCCCTTCTCTTGGAAATAGTGTTCCTTGCTTGGAGAGATTGCCCTGAACTTCATACCAGTGGCTCCCCCTCGTAGCCAGATAAGCACATTTTCAGCCCTACCAAGGCCTTGCAAAACCTCTCAGGCTCTCACAGTCCTTTCACAATCTGTCTTGCTCCCCCTCTAAACTCAGGGGAAGTAGAGATCAAGCAACCCCCTGGTAGCTACAGGCATTGTAGTTTGAGGCATTCGTGTGCCCCACTTAGGGACCAGAGCTTATCATGTTCATAAAAGAACAACTCAGCAGCTGGTTCTGTCATGCAAATATCAATCAATGACAGGGCAAAAAACCCCATAGATAAGCGTAGTGACTTCCAAATAAGCAAACAGGCAGTGGATGATTTGGACTCACAAGCACCACCCTCAATCTCAAAGATTAACATGGGGGACCTGACTCACTCCACACTGTTGGAAACAGGTGAAGACAGCAGGTCAGAGGTAACCGAGGTTCATCAAACCTGCTAGAACGCCCTATATGACTTTAAAAGAACTTAAAAAGGAAAGCCCATCAGACCAGCTACAGATGTCTCAACTGAGACCTTCCAAGTCAAAAGGGATTGGGACCTCATTCTCAGTTTTCTCAAACAGAATAACAGCCAGCCTAGAATTTAGTATCCAGGAAAACTTTCTTATATGAGAGAGAAATAAAGACATTCTCAGATAAGCAAACACTGAGGGACTTTGTCAAGAGCAGATTTGCCCTACAGGAAGTCCTCAGAACTGCATTACACATTGATCAGCACAATAGACACCCACCGTTGTAAAATCACCCTAAACCTAAAGGTCAGAGCGCAGATACCACAATGGTTAAGAGTTAAAACAAACTTTTACTCAAAAGGATAACATAAATCCACCCCACTTAGGAATTCTTTCAACAAATGTGAATGACTTGCACTTCCCACTCAAGAGATATAGACTGGCTGAATAGATTAAAGAAATAGAAGCCAAGAATCTGCTGTTTCCAGGAAACACAACCAATCCACAAGGACTCATTTAGCCTCAAGGTGAAGGGATGGAAAATGATATTTCATGCAAATGGAAACCAAAAGAAATCTGGCCTAGTCATTCTTAATTCAGGTAAGATCGATGTCAAATCAACAAAAGTAAAAAAAAGTAACAAATGGTCATTATATAATGGTGAGGGGAAAAATAAACAAGAAGACCTAATAATCCTAAATATTAATATTTATGCACCTAACATAGGTGCGTCCAGATTCAAAAAGCAAGCCCTACTTGACCTAAATAAAACAATAAACAACATCATTGTAATAACTAGGGACTTCAGTAGCCCACTGATAGGTCAGAACAGATCCTCCAAGAACATAATAAGAAAAATAAAACAATGGACTTAAACAGAACTCTAGAACAGGAGGGCCTAACACACATTTACAAAATATTCTGCACAAAAAACACTCCATATACATTCTTCTCATCAGCTCACAGAAAATTCTCTAAGATTGATCACATCCTAGACCACAAAATATATCTCAAGAAATTTAAAAAATTAGAAGTTATACCATGCATCTCCTCAGACCACAGCAGAATAAAAATAAAATTCCATTATGAAAGAAACACTAAAATGTACACAATGTCATGGAAACTATATCACATACTGCTGAATAGTTATTGGGTTAAGGAGGAAATTAAGATGGAAATCAAAAGAATCTTTAAACTAAATGACAAAGCATACACAAGTTGTAAAAATCTGTTCAGATACATGAAGCCATCTAAAGAGGAAAATTCATAGTTTTAAATGCCTACGTCCAAAAGACAGAAGATTCCAAATCAACAATCTAATTAATTAGCTCAAGGAATTGGTAAAAGAACAGAAAACCAATCCCAAACCAGGTAGAAGAAAATGAATAACTAAGGTCAGAGAAGAACTAAATGAAATCAGTAATAAAAGAACTTTACAGAAGATTAATGAAACAAAAAGCTAGGCACTTGAAGAGATAAACAACAGTCCTCTCACTAGATTAAACAGAAACAGGAAACAAAAGACCCCAATAACCTCAGTAGAAATGAATAAGGTGATAATAAAACTGATACAACAGAAATACAAAATATCACCTCTAAATACTATAAAAATCTCTATGCACATAAACTTGAAAAGGTTGAGGAAATGGACAAATTCTTGGAAATACACAACCTTCCTATGCTAAATCAGGAAGAAATAGAACTCCTGAACAGACCAATATCAAGTAATGACATTGAAGTAGCAATTAAAAAAATCTCCCATAAAATAAAGTCCCAGACCAGATGGCTTAACAGCAGAATTTTACCAGTTCTACAAAGAAGCATTGGTACCTACACTGCAGAAATTATTCTGTACCATTAAGAAGGAAGGAATCCTTTCCAACTTTCTATGAAGCCAAGATCACCTTGATATCAAAGCCAGGAAGGAACACAACAAAAAAAGAGCAAAACAAACCAATATCCCATATCAACATATGTGCAAAAATTCTCAATAAATTCCTAGCAAACTGAATTCAGCTGCACATCAAAAAAATAATCCACCATGACCAAGTGGGGTTCATTCCAGAGATGCAAGCATGGTTCAACACACACAAGTCTATAAATGTGATTCACCAAATAAATAGAAGTGAAAACAAAGATTATATCATCTTGTCAATAGACTCAGAAAAAGCAGTCAACAAAATTCAGCACCCTTTAATGATAAGAACTCTTAACAAAATAGGCATAGCTGGAATATAACTCAAAATTATAGAAGCCATAAATGAAAAACCCACAGCCAACATCATATTCAATGGAGAAAAATTGGGAGCATTCCTGCTTAGAACAGGAACTAGACAACATTGCCCACTGTCACCATCTCTTTCAACATAGTGCTGGAAGTCCTTACCAGAACAATCAGATAAGAGAAGGAAATCAAGGATATCCTTGATTTCCTTGGGATGGGGAAAGAAGAGGTCAAACTATCACTCTTTTCTGATGATATGACCTTATATCTAGAAAATCCCAAAGGTACTGCCAAGACTTCTGGAATTAATATAAATAAATTCAGCAAAGCCTTGGGTTTCAAAATCAATGTACACATATCAGTAGCATTGCTATATGCCAAGCGTCCTCAAACTACGGCCTGTGGGCCACATTCAGGTGTTTTTCCCGGTTGTTTTTTTACTTCAAAATAAGATATGTGCAGTGTGCATGGGAATTTGTTCATAGTTTTTTTTTTAAACTATGGTCTGGCTCTCCAATGGTCTGAGGGACAATGAACTGGTCCACTGTTTAAAAAGTATGAGGACCCCTGCCATATGCCAACAGTCAAGCTGAGAATCAAATCAAAGACTCAGTACTCTTCAGAATAGCAACAAAGAAAATAAAGTACCTAGGAATATATTTAACAAAGGAGGAAGAAGACCTCTACAGGGAGAACTATGAAACACTGAGGAAGGAAACAGCAGAGGACCTGAAGAGGTAGAAAACCATACCATGCTCGTGGATCAGAAGAATCAACATTGTTAAAATGTCTATACCACTCAAAGTGATCTAAGATTCACTGCAATCCCTATTAAAATACCAACATCATTTTTCACACATATAGAAAAAATAGTTTTATGCTTCATATGGACTAAGAGAAGACCCCTATAGCAAAAGCAATCCTAGGAAAAAAGAACAAAATGGAAGGCATTAATTTACCATACTTCAAGCTATACTATAAGGCTATAGTAACTAAAACCACACGGTAATGCCACAAGAACAGGGACACAGACCTGAGGAACAGAACTGAGAACCCAGATATAAAAACATCCTCATGTAGCCATCTAATCTTTAACAAAGCAGACAAAAACATACACTGGGGAAAACAATCCTTATTCAATAAATGGTGCTGGGAAAACTAAATAGCAAAATGTGGAAGACTGAAACAGGATCCGCACCTTTCACCTCTAACAAAAATCAACTCACAGTTAATAACACACTTAAACCTAAGACATGAAACTGTAAGAATTCTAGAAGAAAACATTGGAAACACTCTTCTAAATATTGGCCTAGGCAAAGAATTTATGAAGAGACCCCAAAGGCATTCACAGCAACAATAAAAATAAATATATGGGACCTGAT